TTGACACATGTCATCTTATAGATTGTGTAGATCGATGCTCATGCTATTGATTACTGAATCTTCTGGTCCAGACTCAGTTATTTACAGACCGCTGCCATATAGCTGAGTGCGGCATTAAACAACAAACCAACCAACCAACCAAAATCTAGAGCCTTGGTAGCATGTCTCACAAAAGTACCACATGCCCAAGTCCCTCCTAGAAGTTCTCGGGGCAGCAGGGGTAACTGAGTGGTTAAAGCGTTCGCTCATCATGGCGAAGGCCTGGGTCTGATTCCCCATGTGGGTACGATGTGTGAAGCCCATTTCTTGGTGTAATTGCTGGAATACTGCTGAAAGTGTTGTAAAACCATACTCACTCACTCACTCATTCCTAGCATTTCTCGGGACAGTGGGGGAAGCCTTGTTGTTAAAGCATTCGCTCGTCACACCGAAGGCACTGGTTTGATTCCCCACATGGGTACAATGTATGAAGCCCATTTCTGATGCTTGCTAAAAGGGGGATAAAACCATACTCACTTACTATAGCATCTCTTATCAAGTCCTGCTGTCTTAAAAAGGCCATTTAGTCCGAGAACAGTACCACTCCAGCTTGAATTTTAAAGTGAAGACTGAGACAACAAAATTTCAAAAGAACTCTTTTGGAAATATTTAGAAACTGATAATGGCTGATGCTGAATAAGAGACAGACAGGCTTTCACCTTTTTTAAACACAACTCCGGGTTTCTCAGATTTATATGAATAGGCTTGTCATTGTTTATAAAATGAGCAGTAAAATTTCTTAGAAGTTGAGTACTCTGCAGTCTTTGCATGGAAGGCTGAAGTGCACATGAGCAGGTCGAGGGCTAGGTTTTTACTGAACTTTAGTACACATGACTTGTACAATATCAAACTGGGTTAGACCACCTCCGTGGTGTAGTGGTTAGAGCGTCCGCCCGGAGAGCAGAAGGTCGCGGGTTCGATCCCCAACCGCATCATACCAAAAGACGTTAAAATATGGCACTTGTTGGTCCCCTGCCTGGCTTCGGCATTAATGGATACAACAAGGACTGGTCTAAGCTCGAGTCAGTATAATGTGTCTGAGTGGGGTATTCATGCTTCACTGCGGCATGGTGGTGTCTCAGTGGGCTAGCACTATAAAACCAGCTTCAGTCTGGGCTAGTACAAGCAGCCGCTTTGTTACCCCTACACCGCATGCACGTGGGCCATATGATGAGAAATATTCTCAAGCACTTACTGACGTTAAACCCAATTTCACCTCACCTCAAACTGGGTTGATATAAAACTGCTCATTTCTTTGTACTTTCAGATTTGACTGCCACAATAAAGCTGAAATATCCTGTCTCCTACAAGCACTGCGCTTGTATATGTCAGACACCAAGTACCTGTCACACCGCTCACCTCCCCGATCTACAGGCTCCTCCAGGCCACACCATCAACGAACGGATTGTCTATGCAATGGGGGGTAATGAGAACATCTACACCCTCATGTCCCGACTCTGGCTCAAGTGCTTCACATTCCTGGGTGCCGTCATTCTGGTTTTATTGGTGTTGTGTGTCTCTCTGGCTCTGTGATATTAAAGAGTTTTATTTTCATCATGAAGTGTGATGTTATACTTTGACCGCAGTGGGATGTGGATTAGAATATGTCCCCAGTGCATCGTTGCTGGTCGCATGAGACAACTAGATCATCGATCCTTGCTTCCTGGACTATCTGGTCCAGCTTATTGTAGGAGGAAAGACTGAAGTGATACTGGTCTTGGACCGTGACCACTTTGATGGAAGCCAGGGACATTGGTATGGGGCTGACAACCCTGGTACCTTGATCAGAGCAAACCAGGATTGAAATCTGCAAGGGCTGCCGAGCAACCAATACTTGTGTCTCATATTTGTTGCTTATACGTGTCTCTCATCCTTATCTGTCATACTCATCCATCTTGTCTCTCATACGTGTCTCTCATACTTGTTGCTGATATGTCTCATACATGTCTCTCATCCTTGTATCTCATACTCATCCCTCATATATCTCATACGTTTTGCACATACGTGTCACTCATTCTTATCTCTCATACTCATCCCTCTAGTCTCTAATACTTGTATCTCATACTTGTTGCTCATATTTGTCTCTCATGTGTCTCATACATGTCTCTCATACTTGTTGCTCACACGTGTCTCTCATACTTGTTGGGCATACATGTCTCTCATCCTTATCTCTCATACTCATCCCTCTAGTCTCTAATACTTGTATCTCATACTTGTTGCTCATATTTGTCTCTCATGTGTCTCATACATGTCTCTCATACTTGTTGCTCACACGTGTCTCTCATCCTTGTCTCTTATATGTTGCTCATAGTTATCTCTCACACTCTCTCTCGTACTTGTCTCTCAGACGTTTCTCTAGTATGGGACCCTTATAGATGCCTCTCATACGTGTGTCTCACACTTGTCTCTCAGACGTGTCTCTCATCCGTGTCTCTCACACGTCTCATGTGTGTTTCACCCATGTCTCTCACACTTGACACTCATATGTGTGTCTCATCTGTTCTCTCACACTTTGTGTCTTATATGTGTCTCTCACACTTGTCTTTCATACTTTTGTCTCGTGGCAGTGACATGGACTCTTGCTATCTATCACTGGTTTATCTGATCAGACATTAAGTACAAGATGTAGTAATGTTTGAATACTCTCATTTTAAAACAGTAAACAATTTAAACTTATCCATTTTTTTTTATATAAAATAATAATATCAGTTGAAACAATATACATTCAGAGAAAAGTCGTTCTTTGGTAACACCATATTACTTAAAAAGCCGGTAATTTACATGAAGGGTGATCCTGGCAGTTTCTAATTTCATTATATAGTACACCCAGATACTGCGGATGTAACAAAGCGGATTGAGTCGGATATACATGTATGTACAGAACAGGGTCCTTATTCTCGAAGCGTTAGAGCCCTCACGAATTCTTTACTTTGATCGTGAAGCAGCCAATGTGTTAGAATGGGCTTAAAGAAGTTTTTGTAGAGACTCTGAACGTTCGGAGAATGGCTAGCCAGATACCTTATATTACGTTTTACAACATACATGGTTTTCAGGGCTGTTGTGGTAATACTTCGTTTTTGTAATACATCATTCCATTTCTGAAAGACCGTATGATGTGTAAATATAAAAACAAACATTGATGGGCTGTTTTAATCAGTTATGTAATAACGGTAAATGATCGTCGAATTTCTTGGGCTGGAGCGCTATACCACGGTAAACTATGTAGAGAATGGCGAACCCGATGATGAAGGAGACCAGGATAAGGCCGACTGCCGTTGCCCATCACCCTGAAACATGGCATGGCCACTTCGTTACTATGGTGCCCAGTTGGCGTTAAGCGGAATACATGAATACCCGCAATTGTGCCTATATGGCTTTTAGGAGCCACAATGAATATCTGTGATTGTGCCTATATATGGCTTTAGGAAGCGGAGCCACAATGAATATCTGTGATTGTGCCTATATGACTTTAGAAGGAGCCACAATGAATATCTGTGATTGTGCCTATTAAGCTTTGAGTCAGACCACAATGAATATTTGTGATTGTGCCTCATTTAATTTTAAGTTGAGCCACAATGAATATCTGTGATTGTGCCTATATGACTTGGCAGCGAGCCACAATGAATATCTGTGATTGTTTATTAAGCTTTTGGTAGACCCACAATGAATATCTGTGATTGTGCCTATTTAGCTTTAGTAGTAGAACACAATGAATATCTGTGATTATGCCTGTTTGGCTTTAGGTTGAACCACAAAGGCATATCTGTGATTATTGCCTATATGGCTTTAGCTTTGTTTCGCCACAATGAAAATCTGTGATTGTGCCCTATATGGCTATAGGCGAACCACAATGAATATAATGTGATTGTGCCTATATGGCTTTAAGTGAGCCACAATGAATATCTGTGATTGTGCCTTTATGGCTTTAGTATGAGCCACAATGAATAATATATGATTGTACCTATTTGGCTTTAGCGAACCACAATGAATATCTGTGATTGTGCCTATATGGCTTTAGGTGGAGCCACAATGAATATTTGTGATTGTGCCTATTTGGCTTTTAGTGAGCCACAATGAATATCTGTGATTGTGCCTATATGACTTTGGTAGAGACCACAATGAATATCTGTGATTGTGCCTATTAAGCTTTAGTAGTGAGCCACAATGGATATCTGTGATTGTGCCTATATGGCTTTAGGCGAACCATTAATGAATATCTGTGATTGTGTCTATTTGGCTTTAGGGGAGACCACAATGAATATCTGTGATTGTGCCTATATGGCTTTAGGCCGGAGCCACAATGAATATCTGTGATTATGTCTATTTGGCTTTAGGCGGACCACAATGAATATCTGTGATTGTGCCTATTTGGCTTTTAGGCGAACCACAATGAATATCTGTGATTATTGCCTATATGGCTTTAGGCGGAGCCACAATGAATATCTGTGATTGTGCCTATATGACTTTAGGCGGAGCCACAATGAATATCTGTGATTGTGCCTATTTGGCGTTAGGCGGAGCCACAATGAATATCTGTGATTGTGCCTAGTTGGCGTCATGCGGAACCCCCATCAATATCTGTGACTGTGCCTGTTTGGTGTTAAGCTCAATTCACATGGATATAGGTAATTTTGCCTATTTGGCGTTAGCAGAATCAACATGAAAATACGTGAGTGTGCCTATTTGGCGTTAAGCCGAACCCCACAGAATATCTGTGACTGCCTGTTTGGCGTTAAGCGGAATCGGCATGAATATCTGTGACTGTCTATTTGGCGTTAACCAGGATGTCCATGAATATTGTGATTGTGCGTGCCTACTTGGCGAAGAATATTTGACGTTTAGCGGAATCCACCTACACCTGTGACTTACCTGCACTGTAGCCCGTGCCGGGTGTGGCTGTGTTCTCGTTGACGGTCACGTCCCCGCTGGAAGACGAGTAGGCCTTGGCTGTCATCACCGACGGCTGAACAAGAGAAATTATTGGTCGTGGTTGCAGTAGCTGTTCTTGTTGTTGAAGTAACCCGGGTTCGAATCCCCACATGGGTACAATATGTGAAGCCCATTTCTGGTGTCCCCCGCCGTGATGTTGCTGGAATTTTGCTCAAAGCGGCGTAAAACCAAACTCAGTCAGTCAGTCTTGTTGTTGAAGTGGCCACTAGCAGTAACAGGATGTCTTTTGTGTCTGTTTGCACTGTCTTTACAGTGTTTGTTCCGCCTCCCGGGCAGATTCTCTATCCACGTGACGGTCAGCATGATTAGAGTGAGTGAGTTCAGTTTTACGCCGCTTTTAGCAATATTGCAGCAATATCACGACAGGGGACGCCCGGAATTTGCTTCACTCTCTGTACCCATGTGGGGAATCGAACCCGGGTCTTCGGCGGACGCTTTATCTACGAGGCTATCTCACCGCCCTCGCATGAGTAGATATAGAAACAACAGTAATCGTAATAGTCGTCGTCGTGGTTGTAGTAGTAGTTGTGGAGCCAATAGTAGTAGTAGTTGTTGTTGTAGTGGTCGTAGTATTAGTCATCGTCGTAGTTGTAGTAGTAGTGGTGGTGCCAATAGTAGTAGTGGTTGTTGTTGTAGTGATCGTAGTATTAGTCATCGTCGTAGTTGTAGTAGTAGTGGTGTTGCCAATAGTAGTAGTAGTTGTTGTTGTAGTAGTGGTCGTAGTATTAGTCATCGTCGTAGTTGTAGTAGTAGTGGTGATGCGAATAGTAGTAGTAGGTGCTGTTGTAGTCGTCGTAGTATTAGTCATCGTCGTACCCATGTGGGGAATCGAACCCGGGTCTTCGGCGGACGCTTTATCCACGAGGCTATCTCACCGCCCTCGCATGAGTAGATATAGAAACAACAGTAATCGTAATAGTCGTTGTCGTGGTAGTTGTAGTAGTAGTGGTGGTGCCAATAGTAGTAGTAGTTGTTGTTGTAGTGGTCGTAGTATTAGTCATCGTCGTAGTTGTAGTAGTAGTGGTGATGCGAATAGTAGTAGTGGTTGTTGTTGTAGTGATCGTAGTATTAGTCATCGTCGTAGTTGTAGTAGTAGTGGTGTTGCCAATAGTAGTAGTAGTTGTTGTTGTAGTAGTGGTCGTAGTATTAGTCATCGTCGTAGTTGTAGTAGTAGTGGTGATGCGAATAGTAGTAGTAGGTGCTGTTGTAGTCGTCGTAGTATTAGTCATCGTCGTACCCATGTGGGGAATCGAACCCGGGTCTTCGGCGGACGCTTTATCCACGAGGAACTATCTCACCGCCCCTACGCATGGTAGAATATAGAAACAACAGTAATCGTAATAGTCGTTGTCGTGGTAGTTGTAGTAGTAGTGGTGGTGCCAAAGTAGTAGTAGTTGTTGTTGTAGTGGTCGTAGTATTGGTCATCGTCGTAGTTGTAGTAGTAGTGGTGATGTGCGAATAGTAGTGGTGGTTGTTGTTGTGAGTGATCGTAGTATTAGTCATCGTCGTAGTTGTAGTAGTATTGGTGTTGCCAATAGTAGTAGTAGTTGTTGTTGTAGTAGTGGTCGTAGTATTAGTCATCGTCGTAGTTGTAGTAGTAGTGGTTGATGCGAATAGTATTAGTAAGGTGCTGGTGTAGTCGTCGTAGTGATAGTCATCGTCGTACCCATGTGGGGAATCGAACCCGGGTCTTCGGCGGACCTTTTATCCACGAGGCTATCCTTCACCGCCCTCGCATTGAGTGAATATAGAAACAACAGTAATCGTAATAGTCGCTTGTCGTGGTGGTTGAAGTAGTAGTGGTGGTGCCAAAAGTAGTAGTAGTTGTTGTTGTAGTGGTCGTAGTGCATTAGTCATCGTCGTAGTTGTAGTAGTAGTGGTGATGCGAATAGTAGTAGTGGTTGTTGTTGTAGTGATCGTAGTATTAGTCATCGTCGTAGTTGTAGTAGTAGTGGTGTTGCCAATAGTAGTAGTAGTTGTTGTTGTAGTAGTGGTCGTAGTATTAGTCATCGTCGTAGTTGTAGTAGTAGTGGTGATGCGAATAGTAGTAGTAGGTGCTGTTGTAGTCGTCGTAGTATTAGTCATCGTCGTAGTTGTAGTAGTAGTAGTGGTGCCAATAGTAGTAGTAGTAGTTGTTGTAGTGGTCGTAGTATTAGTCATCGTCGTAGTTGTAGTAGTAGTGGGGGTGCCAATAGTAGTAGTAGGTGTTGTTGTAGTGGTCGTAGAATTAGTCATCGTCGTAGTTGTAGCAGTAGTGGTGGTGCCAATAGTTGTAGTAGGTGTTTTGGTAGTGGTCGTAGTATTTGTCATCGTCGTAGTTGTAGTTGTAGTAGTAGTAGTATTGTATTAGTAGTTGTCGTAGTAGTAGTGGTAGTAGTAGTAGCAGTTGTAGTATCTAGTAGTACCAGTAATACCTTATGTTTTAAGACGCTGTGGTTGTGTGTGTGTCAATAGCTGTAGGAGTGTATACTTACAGTCAAATATTTAGTTGAGACTTCGAAACCTCGTCACAAATGTAATATTATGAGAATAAACATTACCTTATTTAAACTTGGAGAAATGTAATCCCGAATTGTGAATTTTCCCTGGTTGATGGCGGTTGTCAGTTTTGAGCTACGTGCCAGAAGAGGTAACTTCCATGACATGGCTTGTGACGTCACCGAAGCAGAGGTACGTCTAGCAAAGGTGAAAGGACACGATGAGGTCAGCTTGAGTGTAGTCAATCTGTGAAAACATCGAACACCATATCAGTCTTAAGAGGGGCGGTGGGGAGTAGTCTAATGGTTAAAGCGTTGGTAGCGTCACGCCGAAGACCTGGGTTCGAATCCCCACATTGGTACAATGTGTGCATTACATTTTTCTAATTGTCCCCGCCGTGATATTTGCTGGAATATTACAAAAGCGGCGTAAACCAAACTCAGTCAGTCCAGTCAGTCTTAGACAGGAACATCATTAAACTTTCACGACGTTGCTGACAGTTAATACTAACTTCCGTTGTGTCCCTAGTATGGGGATCTACCTTCAGTTGTTGGCGATCAATAGCCTGTTTTTGCATTGTATCGTCTTGTATGGTTCAAATGTTTTAGACTCTATTACTAGTTTTTACGTAACGTATCTCTGTGATATTCTGGTTGTTTTACAACCCTTCTTCCGGCAGATTTTTATAATTTACCGTATATTTCATTCCAATATCAAATGTTCTCGTCACGATATGGCTGAAATAATTGCCGATGTGACGTTAAATATTAACTCCTCACTCACTCACTCACTAACCCGGTTTGTGATTTCGTTTATCCTTAGAGGGATGACAAGTCGACTTACCTTGATATTTATTGATCTAAGAGGTGTGACGTTTGTAAGTAGCCTGTGCCTGCATTAAAAGGTAGTACTTGAACAAATCCTCATCCACTTTACGACCTCACGGAAGCTACCGAAACAGGTCAAAGCCAGAAGTTTGATGTTTAAAAGCCGTTCTACAGAAATTTTTCAGCTGTATAGATACGGTTGTAAATATACGAGTCTGGATAGAACTGTTCCAGTGATTGATGTCATTGATCACTATTGGGACTCGATGACATACATGAAGCGAGCCTGACTATGCCCGATCCTGCGTTAGTTCGCGTACTTAGTGGTAAACATGGTTTACTGATGACCATTCCTAACCCGGATCTTCACAGGTCGCCCTTACGACAAGTGAGCATAGGTTGCTGAAGATCATTCCTATCTTCAAATCTACACCATATGATATGGATGGATACAGAGGATTTTTGTCAAGGGTGATGATTGTGTCTTGCTCAGGATGCGCTGCACTGACCTGGCGGTGAAACAGAAGGTCTTCCTGTGGAGGTAGTTGAAGCAAGGGGCGATGTCGAAGTTCCAAATCATTGGCCGAGTCTTCGTCGTAGTCGTAGAAGTTATTGCACGAAATTGGTATGTTCTGTTGAGTCTGAATCAAACGTGATAACTTGCTAGATGTTTGGAGGCTTAGTATCACGTTCCGTTGCCCTGGTACTATATAGAGTCATTCGTACGGTTATTGTCGGTATGAAGGAATTCCACGCCGTAATATCTCGAGTTGTGCAGTTCGATTTTAGCCAAAACAATAACGACTAAAGAGAATACGCGTAATGACTCAGATTCCAGTTTGAGAACAACGGTACTCAAAGAGTGTTTGCGCCAACGTGTCTAATTCCTCTGAGGGACCGACTTGTAAATATGTTCGTGAACGAGCACCCGGAACAAGTTCTATCCTAAAAAGCCGACGTGATATTGCTGGAATATTGCTAAAAGTGGCGTAAAACTAAATCTCACTCATTCACACTCCACTCCATCCGAGAAATGCGGGGAAATTTGTGATCCTATAATTTATACCCCAACGCTTATCACTTGGATGTCTTGATGAGGGCAAAACAGTCTAAGTCTGTCCTTAGTTTGTGTATGGTCTCATCTAATCTTATCTCATTTGTCTCCGCCGCTGTTGGAGTGTACACAGTCATAAAAACAGGTCACCGTGACCTTTCGTCGTCTGCATGTGTAAAAACAGTGGTGTTGGACTTGATCTTGATTGATACATTGGTTTAAAGATTACCTAGTGATCTAAATTGAAAATAAATACAGAAATCAGAATAGATACACAATTAGTGCAAACATTATTTCATTTTTCATACTTTATTAAGATTTTTATTAGGTGACACGAATAGTCTTCAGATTTAACACACCGCATTTCCTCTAGTAAGCGCCCGGGCGCTTATCTTTTCAACCGACTTCCAGACCCGGCGCTTATTGGAGGCCCGGCGCTTTTGCTCTTACTGGGTGTTATTACCGTAATGTTGGAGGCCTGCTTTACACCCCGGCGCTCATTCGTGGCCCGGAGCTTATTAAAGGAAATACGTCAGTTTCACAATGAAGCAAGCTGACGGCTGACGGTCAGAGCTTATACGTGCATCGTGTTTATCTTGTTGTATTGTTGCCATGGCAACAGTGTGATAAAAGCAACAAGGCGATGCTTGATGGATGTTCTGCATTTACTCTTCAGACAAAGAGTCAGCATTGTAGGGGCCCGATCCACCAAGCGTTCGTAACGGACACGACTCGTAAGGGTTTACGATCGTAGTTAGGACAACTTTACTATTTATTACGACCGATCCACAAAGCGTCCTTAATTCGTTCGTAAATTCATTATCTTACGATCATTGTCGATTAATAAAGATCACGGCTCAAAAATCGCAATGGTGGAGTATGGAGAGTTTCCCAATGACGTCATTGCTTGAATGGAATCCTTCACTTGGTTGGCAGACGGCTTACCTATAGTTTATGTTTATCATGCATTACACCGTTTGTTTTCCGAAGAGTCATTTGCAATCATCCGCGTGTGCACACAAAATGTGACGTCACATTGTTTCGTTGATTACGTAGTCGGTTACGCTTTCTCACCATGTACGACAGCCCATTGCAGATAGTATTAACACATAGGAAGGCAGACACCGAGATGTGAGAAGGTTGTTGCTAACGGTTTCTTTTTATACTTGACATTTTGTAAACATAAAATTGGTGTTAGTGGCATTAGTGATCTTGGGCTATTTACCTCAGTGCTGGACAATTAGATTTAGTGTCCGTACGTGTAATGCAGAGATTCGGAACATTTTTGTCAGCGAGGCGTGGCATTGTGTGTACACCAAAAGCACCGCTTCGTGACGTCATATGAGACTTAATTTACAAAAAAAGCGTGATAATTACAGCGATCCACGAATCAAGGTTATCCACGAATTTAGTTTACATTACATCGATGTATATAATGATCACGTAAAACATCGATGTTTTGCTTTTGAACATCCGAATGATGGACGGCGTTCTGACGGTGAATATCTGCATCTATCTGTGGCCCGTCCCAACAACTTGTCAGCAGGTGCTAATTCGGCAATGAGTCTTTAATAAAAGGATATATGCCGTTGAACGGGAAACAGCGCTCTGGCCGTCTGGCCTCTCCTCCTTTACTAGATGTTTTACTAAGATAGCCGAGTGGATATTTCCTTCATAAAGTTTCGAAAGGTTAACGATGTTCCTATCGCTGCAGAAATCTTTTGTGACACATTTGGATGACTTACCATAGTGACGGTCACCTCTGGCGTATTGGGCACCCTAAGACTCCCCGTTACTGTAGCCAGTCTCCTCCAAGTCACCTCGGAGCTTACAGAACATACATCACACGTCACACACTACTACTGTTGCTGCTACTACTACTACTACTACTACTACAACAACAACTACTACTACTACTACTACTACTGTGACTGCTTCTACTGCTACTACTATCACTGTTGCAAGCTACTGCTGCTGCTACTACCACTACTTTCTACCAGTACTGCTACTGCTACTAATTGGTACTACTACTGCTACTACCACTGCTACTACTGCTTCTACTACACCCACGTGTGCACGCACTACTTCTGTTGCTGTTGCTGTTGCTGCTGCTACTACTACCCCAGTAGTTGTACACCACACGTCAGAAGCTACTGTTGCTGCTGCTACTACTTCTGTTGCTACTGCTGCTTATGCTTCTTCACTGCCACTGTTGCTGCTTCCTGCTACTGCTACTACTACTACGGCTGCTACTACTGCTATGCTACCGCTGACTGCTGCTGCTGCTGCCACTGCTGCCACCAGCTACTACTACTACTACTACGGCTACTACTACCACTACCGCTGCTACTACTACCACTGTTGCTGCACAACGGCTGCTGCTACTGCACCACGTCAGCGGAAACTGCTGTTGCTACTGCAGCTGCACTCGCTGTTACTACTGCTACTTATACTACTACTACCACTGTTACAGCTTCTGCTGCCTACTGCTACTACGGCTATTACTGCTACCACTACTGCTAGCGCTGCGGATCTGCTACCACTCTTGCTGCTTCTGCTACTACTGCTTAACGCTACTGCTACTACCACTACTGCTGTACGCTGCTGCGCTACTACTACTGCGCAACAGCTTGACGCTGCTACTGCTACTGCTGTTAGCTACTACAGCGCTGCTATACTGCTGCTGCTGCTACTACTACTGTTGCTACTGTTGCGCAACGCTTATGCTGCTACTGCTACTACTACTGCGCTGCTGCTGCTACTGCTACTACTGCTACACTGCTACTGCTACTACTGCTATACTGCTTGGTTGCTGCTTCTGCTGCTGCTATTTCTGCAGTTACTACTGCAACTTATGCTACTGCTGCTGCTGGCTACTGCCAGCTCACTGCTGCTGGTTACTGCTGGCTTCTATGCAACAGCTGTTTGCTGCTGCCAATGCTACTATAACTGTTTGCGCGGCTACTTCTGCTACTACTATTATGGCATGCTGTAGATTCACCAGCAACTTGTTGCCAAAGTCGCACTGGGATTTGAAGTTGACTCCTAGAACCTTTCAGCGCACATGTGGGTCTTGAAACCTCAAGTAATGCATCTACATGCGCTGGTCGTATTACAGGGTGATCAGTTACCTTTGAAATCACCACTCAGGCGTGGGTTGACCCGGTGACCCCAGCCGGCCAGTCATGTCACTTGGGGCTGTCCACGTCACATGATCACGCACTGTCGCTGCGGACAATGACTTATCCTGGTAGAACACAGTAGACACACAATCGGATCAACGTTTTCTAATATACACACAGTGGACAAACACCGTTTTCTAATATTCTGGGCACCCGTGAAGATCCGGGTTAGAATTGATCTTCAGCTACCCAAGATTGTCGTAAGAGGCGACTAACGGGACCGGGTGGTCAGACTCGCTGACTTGCTTGACACATGTCATCGTATCCCAATTGGGTAGATCGATGCTCATGCTGTTGATCACCGGATTCTCTGGTCCAGAATAGTTACAGACCGCCGCCATATAGCAGTAATATTGCTGAGTGCGACGTTAAGTTACCAGCCAACCAGCCAACTTATATCTTAGAGCAATGGGAAAGCATATATTCTTCGCGGCTTTGAATCACAGATTTGCACGCGGCTGTCATCCTAGGTCCGTCAACACCTGGACCAGAGAAGTGTCTCTTTCATTAAAATAAGGCTCAATATAATTAAATAGGGGGTCTATTTAATTAAATAAGGGCTTTATGTTATTGAATTATGGCTCTATTTTATTAAATGTAACACAGCATCTTTATGAGACAAACAATTAAAAAGCAAGGTAAATACATGTATAATATTCCCAGAATATTCAAACGTTTCATGCATTCGAAACATCTTTGGACGAGGAGAGGAAAGAATTTTGCTATTTTTAAATGCATTTTGGAGAGAGAATGTTTCCGCTCAACACCATTTTCTCTGATTTGTATTTATCTCCGAGTTAGTGACAAACAAAGGCAACAGACGCATCCCACTCACTCACTCACGCACTCACTCACCTCTCCGACGTAGTGGTAGCTTGCATTGTTGAAGTTGAAGAATTCCTGCGATGTTCTGATGCGGACGTTGTTGCCGTTTATGACGCGTGCGTCCAAACTCGTAGCCTCTATAGGTCTCGCAGAACAGTTGCCCAACATAGGATCTGATATATATGCTACACCTGGAACGGAAAATAGACTAGCATCTCATCAGCTGACTCACTTTACATTGTCTGTAGCATCAACATCACTGTACGCTCCCAAGGCTGTTAATCCACAAAAATAATTGAGCTTTACAGCAATGCCACTTTCCATAGGACCCGTGAAGAAATAGTCTTCAGCAACCAATACTTGCTGTAAGAGGCGACTAACGGAATTGGGTGGTCAAGCTCGCTGACTTGGTTGACACATGTCATCGTATTCCAACTGCATAGATCAATGCTCATGCTGTTGATCACTCTATTGTCTGGTTCTGACTCGATTATTTACAAACCGCCGCCTTATAGATGGAATATTTCTGAGTGCGGTGTAAAACACACACGAAAAATACTCTATAATCACATTCAAGCTGTGTATGTGTTCTGCAAACATAAAAATTATACTGCCTGAACAGATCAACTGGGCGGGAGGGTATTTCAGGTAGCCTGTTTTGTACTCGTGCACCTACTTCGAGGACGTCGGTGCCGTATGAGGGGTGGACCGGTGGGAAGTACTGGTAGCTCACCTGTGTTGTAGTCGTGCACCTCTACTAAGACGTCGGTGCCGTATGGGGAGTGGGCCGGGGGATAGTACTGGTAGCTCACCTGTGTTGTAGTCGTGCACCTCTACTAAGACGTCGGTGCCGTATGGGGAGTGGGCCGGGGGATAGTACTGGTAGCTCACAAGGTTGATAGTGTAGTCGTAACTCTCCTGTGAAGACAGTCATAGAAACCTATGTTATATAATATTTCAGTGTCCTGAAAGGGGCGCATCGTTTTTGGTTTGTCACCCTGAAAAAGCATATTTTCTTCTGATTCACTACGTGACTGGTTTGGGTTGACTAACAGCTGGCCTAAAGTGTCGTTGTTGTCGTCTCCTTTATGCCAAAACACGTTGGTTAATATCTCATATACTGATGGCATATTTTGTCTGTTATCCTTGCGAATAACTAAGGCACCCCTTATAAACGTAGATAGGATCGTCCCATTCTCAGCCATGTATCCTGTTAACCACTAACCACACATAACCTTGTATTCGATGTCATTTGCTAGCAGTAATTGTACCTGGTCAAGCTGCGCTGCTCAATCTGTTTATATTTCTAGTTTTGTCAGTTCTGTTATATACCGACCGCCTCCGTGGTATAGTGGTTAGAGCGTCCGCCCGGAGAGCGGAAGGTCGCGGGTTCGATCCCCGACCGCGTCATACCAAAAGACGTTAAAATATGGTACTTGTTGGTCCCTGCCTGGCGCTCGGCATTAATGGGTACAACAAGGACTGATCGGCTCGGAGTCAGTATAATGTGTCTGAGTGGGGTATTCATGCTTCACTGCGGCATGGTATCTCAGTGGGCTAGCACTATAAAACCAGCTTCAGTCTGGGCTAGTACAAGCAGCCGCACATACACATACACACATACACACGCATGTACGTCGTCATATGAGCGAAATATTCTCCAGCGCGACGTTAAACCCAATTCCACCTCTGTTATATACCTGGGTCCCGATCCACCAAGCGTTCGTAACATTACGACCTGTCGTAACTCTATAATGACGTAGCGCTGCGAACACTTTGTGGATAGTGACCCTGCATTAATTCAGGATTTCCTCCTACACCATGCGGGCTAGTCGTGACATCTCATGAATATTGTTATACTCACAGCATGAACAACGAATTGGGATTTGAATCATGTTCAAATAACGTTTAAACACCTCTCACCTTGATAAAGCCTATAGTCTTCTCCTCGGGGATGACTATCTCGGAGTAATAGTGGAAGAAATCGTTCAAAGTAGGCAACGGCTTTGTATTCTTGCGGTTTGGGCAGTATGCTCCTTTAGGGATCTGTAGACGGGGCAAGATACGTAAAGCCTGAGTAACGTTTATGGAAGTGGGTGAATGAGTGAGTGAATGAGTCGGTGGGTTGAGTGAGTGAGTGAGTGACTGGGTGAGTTAGCTCTGTATTGTAAGATACACAAGGAAGGAAATCACGAGTATTTTTTTCATGAGCATGCTGAAAGTTCGATATTTCTTCCTGAGAAAATTAAATCGTCTTTAGTCGGTGATCTGTAGACGAGGGAATATGCGTAGAGTGAGTGAGTGAGTGGGTGGGCTGGTTTGAATGAGTGAGTGAGTGGTAGCTTTGTTTTAAGACACATGATTCCAGAAGCACAAGAAGGCAACCACTTTCTCTAATTTATATGCATTTTTTCATGGGCATGCTAAATATTCGGTTCTCATTTCAGTGTAAAATTAAATCGTCTTTAGACAGTGACAGAAATTTGTAACTTAATGGCGAAATAGGACAGCTATGTCATGAAAATAAGATTGTAGAATCCGCTTCCGGTAAACAAAGGTCTAAATCTCCATGTCACCTTCACAATCTTGGACAGACGAATGAAATCACAAAGAATAAGTCAACTTAAGCTAATCAGATACAATCTTGCTCGAGCAATAGGACACAAATTTCTAACTGTCGATTGGATTTTAATGAAAAAGCCAGATACGAACCTCGAACTTGTCATCCGAGACACTGGTCTGAAAGTCTGTGAATTCATAGATGTGGTGGAAGAGATAGCTGTGCGAGCCGTTCACCGTCTTCTTGCCCTGGATCTCACAGCGGACGGGAACCTGGTTCACGGCTATAGCCGTGTTCCAAGAGTTCTTAGCTGCGACGTAAAGAGATAAAAAGTTTAAAGAAACATATATGGTTCACACCGGTTGCCAGTACAGAGTAACGTGAGTGAGTTTGGTTTCACGTCGTTTCAGCAATATTCCGGCGATATCACGGCGGGGGACACCCGAAATGGGCTTCACACATTGTACCCATGTGGGGAATCATACCTCTGTCTTGGGCGTGACGAGCGAACGCTTTAACCATTAGGTTATGATACCGCCCCTCATGGGAAAGAGAAGCTTAAATGGCTCACACTGCTTGCGAGACTGAAGTCCTCCAATGACCACGTTGTTTGTCTGCTGAATTTGTTTATGGTATAGACCATGGACAGTTCCCTCAAACCTCTCAGCCAGTCTGCACTAAGCAAAATTCTAAAGTATTCACACATTTTCACAGTCATATATATTATTTTCGCGACAGGCAGCTGACTCACGTCACTCACTCACTCACTCCAGCTCTGTTTTCTCACCTGTAAAAGACCAGAGGATTTTGACGGAGGCTTTGAAGTCATCCAGATAAGCACAGGACTGAAACTGGTCCACCAGCATCCCCCTAACGCTCTTCACTCCCAAATACGTTTCTTTCAGAGTCCTCCCGAACCTCATCGCCCCTCCAACCGAATAAATGCTCTCAGACCCATTCGGACTTTTCGTCACCCCGAACAGGTACTGGTTACTGGTCTGTGAGAGAGGCTGGACAACACATCCTGCGATCGTGCCATCTGCGACAGGAAGACAAGTCAAGTTGTTGTTGTTGCTGATGTTGTTTCTTTGTTGTTGAACGTAGCAATATTCTAACAACAGGGTGATAGTCTCCAAATGGACCAGACAATCCAGTGACAGACATCATGAAAATCGACCTACACAATTGTAATACAACGACCTGCATCATCTGACAAGCCAAGTCAAGTCAACTGACTACCCGATCCCGTTAACTGTAGCACTCATAAAGCTGGTGACCCACAATGAAGAGGACACATGCAATGTATCGTGTACCTAATATCGGCACTGAATCAACGTTCAGCGCATCCTGGAACGAATAAGGGGCGAAACTGCCTGGCTATCATATCGTGTATCACCTATTAGAGCCTTGAGCATGCACTAGTTGCCTGGATATGTGCGCTATATAAATATCCTATAATAATTAATGTCCGCTAGCCACGTCTTGTAGACCTGAGTCTATCGAACGCCTTTCATGTGCCCGTATCACAACACTCCAAAACAAGCCACGTCAGTGTAATTCGACAGAACAGAGCAGCGCATTACCTCCCTTAGACCGAGTACAGCATTGCAAACAATTTTATATACAGTCAGTTAACGATATTAGTTTCTAACAATATCAGTTATGTCAAATAAATTACACACAGTTTATGAGTAATTATGTTTTTACAGTTGTTTAATGCTGAGACTTAACATATTCGGCTCCCTTGAATCATCCCAACTTTGAAACCATAGCAGCATAATGATGTTTCCCCACGAAACCATACTCCCCATCAAAAGTTTAGACTCACTACACACTCCGGCACAGCGATGACTTAACATAACATTACCTTACAGGCTAATTTGCATATCACGTGACCGGACTTTCTCTCTTTGTAATCAAACGCGCATATTCATAATAAGAAGAGACTGGACTCACGAGAGCTTTTCGCCGCTCTCTTCATAATGTTTTACATTGTTACATATATATTCTTCCACAACTGCGACAGTTAAGGTCTATGACGAGTACATATTTAGCTATCAAACTGGCTGCATCGTTTGCTCTCCGTCGGCTTCGATGACAGCACGTGGAGCCATTACAACCTATGTAAACAAAGGGATCGCTACGCAAATCGGGAAATAGTGTTACATGTTTTTGGATATTTTCTCAGTGAAACTAAACCATTCTATTAAAGATGTTTAGTTAGAGGTGTAGACTCGTCAAAAATAAAAGAGTAAAAGACATATGTACATCATATTTAATGGACGGTGCAAGATGTGACAAATCGTCACATTTTTCTGGCCTGTGGCAGAGGTACTATGCTGGAACTCTCTGGGTAGGAGAGTGGACTCACTAGTGTAAATGTAACCATTTACTTAAGTCAACTGTTCTAAAATAAATGTTGCATTTTTTTCCATACTGTTTAAAGGAACTGTTTACACATGAACTGATGTATTGTAAAACAAATTTGTAACTTGGAAAATGTTATTGTCATGAGTTCAATAAATGATGAAACTCGGTGAAAATTGACGAATTAGTAGCAAACCTCTACACCAAAACGCAGCTGTTCACAAGCATGATATTTGCACATGCTTTACAGCAATTTGATGCATGATCCTCGTGCAATTCATCTACATAAGGTTTGCAGTTGGTTCTCCCCAAGTTAGTGGAGAAATTCATCTTCCATGTAACCATATATATATATATACACACACACACATAGTGAGTGCTTTAAGTGAGTCTAAACTTTTTGTGGGTACTATAACTAGTCACGTATGTCAGGGTTCAATGCCTGAACGTGAGTCTCCCTTGTCTCAAGTGCACCAATAGCAGCATGTACTTCAAGGCCCAAAACACTACTACTACACTATCCTACCGACATACTACCATGTTTCCCTCGATCAATGATCCTACCAGCTTACCGATGGCCTCCACCACCATGATGTATTCTTGAGTCGTGTAGTCGTAGATGACGTCGGCCTTGATGCCAAACTGATACTGCTGGGCGGCCCCCCTGTTGCCGACCTGGTCGTACCATTCCTCCACGTCCGTCGTGGAGTTTTTGTTGAGGATGTTGCACTCCACCCGGGCACTGAACTTGTCAGGCAACTTTGGCGTCGGCCCTGAACATAATACACGCCTGTTGTAACTATATATACTGAGGGAAACAAACAAGGGAACGCCACTTCAGGGCAGTGTTCCTATATTTATTTCTCCGAACTCCTCCCACAGAGCTATTCAAAGCTGGTGATGAAACCTGGACAATATTAAAGGAACGATTGAATTTTCTGTGTTCCTTTTATAGTTACGTTCAGTATATAATCAGCTGTATGATACAAAGCTCGGAGATCTCTGTCAGTCGAGGGGCGGTAGGGTAGCCTAGTGGTTAAAGCGTTCGCTCGTCACGCCGAAGACCCGGGTTCGATTCCCCACATGGGTACATTGTGTGAAGCTCATTTCTGGTGTCCCCCGCCGTGATATTGGAATATTGCTAAAAGCGGCGTAAATCCAAACTCACTCACTCACTCTGTCAGTCGATTACCGAGTCTTCATTTTCGTCATGTGTACAAACCATCATGTTTGTCATGGGATATTACAAGAAGGTGAAGTAACTCATGAATGAACTGTCCTTGATGAAAAGTTTGTACAACGCACAATTAGCTGGAAATGTGATAACACAGAATCAGGTGTGTGTGTTGAACGTAGATACACTAGCTCTGCACCCGAATGGCGATCTATCGCAGTGACTGATGCAGGACACCCATCTTTATCACTGGTGAAAAGTCACAACGGGCGCTTCGATTACCTTGTTCACAGAAACCTAGGATAAACATGATCTACTACCGCTGTTACAACGTACATGGCATTTCATCTACCCCTTAACCACTCAACTGTCTCTTCTACCACTCAGCTCTCTTCTACCACTCTCAACTCTTCCTTCTACCACTCAACTCTCCCATCTACCACTCCAATTCTCCATTCTGCCACTCAACCCTCACATCTACCACTCCAGCTCTCATTTCTGCCACTCAACTCTCACTTCTACCCAATTATCATATCTACCACTCATCTCTCCCTTCTACCGCTCATCTCTTCCTTCACCACTCAACTCTCTTCTATCACTGATCTCATCTCTACCACTCAACTCTCACTTCTACCACTCATCTCTCCCTTCTACCACTGATCTCTCACATCTACCACTTAACTCCGCACTTCTACCACTCATTTCTCCCTTCTACCACACAACTCTCACTTCTACCAATCATCTCTCTCCTTCTAGCACTCAATTCTCACATCTACCACTCAACTCTCCCTTTTACCCACTCAACTCTCACATCTACCACCCAATTCTCATTTCTACCACTCAACTCTCACTTCTACCCACTCAACTCTCGCTACTACCACTCAACTCTCACACTCAACTCCCACACAACTCACAAAATCAACCATTGCCTACTAACAACACACTCCACACCTCACACTTCACACTCAACTACCTCACACTCCAACCACACACTTCAACTACACACTCTCAACTTCACACACTCTCAAACACACTCCAACTCTCTACACTCAACCACAAACTCAACCACACACTCAACTTGATCACACACTTCAACCTCATACTCAACCACACACTCTACACTACATTACTCAACCACACACTTCAAATTCACAACCAACCACATACTTTCAACAAACGCACCTTCAACTGCATACATGTTCAATCCCTCTACCTTACACACTCTCAACTGTACACTCTCAACTCACACACACTCTCACCACTCACACTTCAACTTCACATGCACTAACCACATACACTTCCAACTCCCACTCTCCCCAACTAACTATGCACTTCAACTGCACACTCAACCTCTACCACACACTCAACCACACACTTCAACTACACACACTCAACTACACACTCTAACCACACTCAACCACTACACACTCAACCACACACTAACTACACACACTTCAACCCACACACTTCCAACCACACACTCAACCAACTTACACACTCTCAACCTCACTACCACACACTCAACCACACACTCAACCACACACTCAACCACACACTCAACCACACACTCTCAACTCTACACACACTCAACCACACACTCAACTACACACTCAACCACATACTCAACCACACACACTCAACCACACACTTCAACCACACACAATCACTCAAACACACACTCAACCTCACACTCTCAACCACAAACTCAACCACACACTCAACCACACACTTCAACCTCACGCTCAACCACACACTCTCAACACACACTTCAACCACACACTCAACCACACACTTCAATCACACACTCAACCACACACTCAACCACACACACAATAACCTACTTCAACTCACACTTCAATACCCACACAACCACAAAATCAACCACACTCTCAAGAACACACTCTAACCACACACTAACCACACACTCAACTACACACACAACTACCCACTCAACTCTCTACTTCTCAACTACCCTACACAACCACAAACTTCAACCACACTTCAACAATACACCTAACTCTCACACTCAACTCTCACTCTCAACCACACACTCAACCATACACTCTCAACTGCACACTTCAATACTTCAAATCACATACTAATGACACACTTCAATCATGCACTCTCAACCACACACTTCAACCACACACACAATCACACACTCTAAAACACACACAACCACAAACTCACCCACACTTTTAACAACACACCTAACTCACACTCAACCTCACCCTCAATTTCAACTACACACTTAACCTCACACTTCAACTCTCACACCTCAACCACACTCTCATCCACAAATCTCAACTCTCACACTCTCAGCAACACACTTCTACCACACACACTTCAACCACACACTCAACTCTCACACTCAACCACACACTCAATCACACACTCAACCTCACACTCTCAACCACACACTTCAACTACCCACACAAATTCACACACTTCAACCACACACTTCAACTGCACACTTCAACTGCACACTCTCAACACTTCACTGCACACTTCAACACTTCACCACATACTTCAATGGCACACTTCAATCACACACTTCAACCACACACTCTCAACCACACACAACTACCTACTCTCAACTCACACTTCAACTACCTACACAACCACAAACTCAACTTCACACACTTCAACAACACACTCCAACTCACACTCAACTCACACTTCAACCACACACTTCAACCACACACTCAACCACACACTCAACTACACACTTCTAAACACACACTCAACTCTCACACTTCAACCACAAACTCAACTACACACACTTCAACCACACACTCAACTCTCACGCTCAACCACACACTAAACTACACACTTCAACTACTATCCACTCAACACACACACTTCAACCACACAACTCAACCACACACTTCAACTATCACACTCAACTCTCTACCACACACTTCAACTGTACACTCAGCCACACACACTCAACCACACACTCCAACTATCCACACACTCAACTACACACAACTCCTACACACTTCAACCACATGCACTCAACTGCACACTCATACTCTAAACCACACACTCAACTGTACACTCACACACACACACAACCACACACTCAACCACACACTCAACTACACACTCAACTCCTACACTCAACCACGCACTCAACCACACACTCACACACCTCTACCACACACTCTCAACCACACACACTCAACCACACACTCCAACCACACACTCAACCACACACTCAACTAACCTCACGCTCAACCACACACTCAACTACACACTCAACCACACACTCAACCACACACTCAACCACACACTCAACCACACACTCAAACACACACTCAACTCTCACGCTCAACCACACACACTCAACTACACACTCAACCACACACTCAACCACACACTCTCAACCACACACTCAACCACACTCACACATTCAAACACACACTCAACCTCACACTCATACATACCACAAACTCAACCACACACTCAACCACACACTCAACTCCTCACGCTCAACCACACACACACACTCAACCACACACTCAACCACACACTCAACCACACACTCAATCACACACTCAACCACACACTCAACCACACACACAACAACCCACTCAACCTCACACTCAACCACCCACACAACCACAAAATCAACCACACTCAAGAACACACCCACACCTCACACTCAACCTCACACTCAACCACACACTCAACCACACACTCAACCACACACTCAACCACACTCAAACACACTCAACCTCACACTCAACCACAAACTCAACCACACACTCAACCACACACTCAACCTCACGCTCAACCACACACTCAACTACACACTCAACCACACACTCAACCACACACTCAACCACACACTCAACCACGCACTCAACTGCACACTCAACCTCTACCACACACTCAACCGTACACTCAACCACACACTCAACCACACACTCAACCACACACTCAACTACACACTCAACCCCACACTCAACCACGCACTCAACTGCACACTCAACCTCTACCACACACTCAACCACACACTCAACCACACACTCAACCACACACTCAACCACACACTCAACCTCACGCTCAACCACACACTCAACTACACACTCAACCACACACTCAACCACACACACACTCAACCACACACTCAACCACACACTCAAACACACACTCAACCTCACACTCAACCACAAACTCAACCACACACTCAACCACACACTCAACCTCACGCTCAACCACACACTCAATTACACACTCAACCACACACTCAATCACACACTCAACCACACACTCAACCACACACACAACAACCCACTCAACCTCACACTCAACCACCCACACAACCACAAACTCAACCACACTCAACCACACACCCAACCTCACACTCAACCACACACTCAACCTCACACTCAACCACACATTCAACCTCACACTCAATCACAGACTCAACCACACACTCAACCTCACACTCAACCACACACAACCACAAACTCAACCACACACTCAACCACACACTCAATCACACACTCAACCTCACACTCAACCTCACACTCAACCTCACTCTCAACCACACACTCAACCATACACTCAACCTCACCCCAACCACACTCTCAACCACACACACAGCCACACACTCAACCACACACTCAGCCACACACTCAGCCACTCACTCAACCAAACACACAACCACACTCTCAACCACACACTCAACCACATACACAACCACACACTCAACCACACACTCAAGCACACTCTTAACCTCCTGTCACACCCACCATCTCAAACCCGTGAAGATCCGGGTTAGAATTGATCTTCAGCAACCCATGCTTGTCGTAAGAGGCGACTAACGGGATCGAGTGGTCCGACTCACTGACTTGGTTGACACATGTCATCGTATCGCAAATGTGTAGATCGATGCTCATGTTGTTGATCACTGGATTGTCTGGTCCAGACTCGATTATTTACAGACCTCCGGCATATAGCAGGAACATTGCTGAGTGCGGTGTTAAACAACAACCAAACAAACAATCCAAGCCAAGCACCAGACAGAGTATCTATAAAGGCCGAACTTTAACGTGCTTGTGAATATTACAATTACTATATACTCTGGCATCTGTCAAAAGGATTATGTATATGATTGCTCCCTGTTTAAAGTCACACTGCCAAAAATGCTATTGGTGCCCGGAAAACATGAAAATAGGGCTAAAAACGTTATTTTGTTATTCCAAGGTTGATAATACGTTCCGACAACCAAACTGTACACGGAGTGTCGAGTTAAAGATCGGGTGAGAGAATACTTACGCTGCAAACCATCTCGTGCCGGCCCCAAAGGTCATATGCTTGTGAGGTAAAGAAGTTTCAGTCCAGTCTCGGCACCCAATCCCTTTGGTCTTTGGCTTCCCACAATAGAATGGGATGCCGAAATAGTCGGCAGTCAGATTACAAAAGGGACGTATTTTCATGTATTTCACTTCCATGTGACCGCTTGTAATCTCAGTTGAAGTATTTGATCTGAATGTGCATTCAATTTGTTTCCCAAAATATCCATTCTGGAATGAAATATCTATATGGTCCATTCTTTCTCTTGATGAAATCATGGCAGCCCGAATTATGGCTCTTCCTGTCCACATGGTGCGCAGAACTCCAGTATACGTTCCATTTCCATTGTCGATAACACTTCCGGCGGAAGCAGCGCCATGTTGCGGATCTTTCATCCACACGACTAACATATCACCACCACATGTTTTTGGTCTCTTCCAGTGATCGAATAGAACAATGTTCACCTTGACCGTTTCATTAAGCTGATACGTCCTGTTTACACCAACCAACGATATACGTGACATGGATCCTGAAGCGTGGAGGCTTGTTACTTCATTCAATACACTGAAACCAACAATACAACAGGTTGTCTTAGTATAATTATTACTCACAAACAATCTCATCAACAAAACATTTCACACAAGTTTGAATGATGATCACTTTTCTGAGATGGAACTGCCAAGCACACACACACACACACCACTAAGAAAAGAGAGTGAGTGAGTGACTTAAGTTTTAAGCTGCTTTTAGCAATATTCCAGCAATATCACGGCAAGGGGACACCAGAAATGGGCTTCACACATTGTACCCATGTGGGGAAGCGAACCCGGGTCTTCGGCGTGAAGCGCGAACGCTTATCCACTAGGCTACCCCACCGCCCCAACAAAATAGAGCTACCAACAGAGCTGAACAATGGAAAAGAGGAGGCCAAAGTCCAGTGTAAGGGATCTTGCATGCATGTATGTAACCCAGTGAACGTCCCTGTGTTTGGATGTGTTTTGTCACAGTCCTTGCGCATCATTATCAGAGAGCACAACACTTTGTGTTGTGACAGAGTGAAACAGGCAATTTGTATTATGACAGATTAAAACAGGCAATTTGTGTCTTGACAGAGTGAAACAGGCAATTTGTGTTTTGACAGAGTGAAACAAGCAATTTGTGTTATGACAGATTGAAATAGGCAATTTGTGTTGTGACAGATTGAAACAGGTAAATTGTGTTGTGACAGTGTGAAACAGTTAAGTTGTGTTCCGGCCGAGTCAAACAGGCAGTTGTGTTGTAACAGAGTGAAACAGGCAGTTTGTGTTGTGACAGAGTGAAACAGTCGGTTTGTGTTGTGACAGAGTGAAACAGTTAATTTGTGTTGTGACAGAGTGAAACAAGCAATTTGTGTTCTCACGCTATCACAACACAAACTGCCTGTTCCACCCTTTCAGAGCACAAATCGCCTGTTCCATTCTGTCATTACACAAACTGTATGTTTCAATCTGTGACAGCACAAATTGCTCGTTTCAATCTGTCACAACACAAACTCCCCGTTTCAAACCTTACTAAATATGCAACGTGATTCTCCTGTAGTATATCAACATTGTTCAAATTGCCTTGCTTGTGTAAAGAAACTATCATCCCAACAGGCCACTATGTAGGAAATTACCCTCTTTCTAATATCAGATGAAAATTAACTCAAAGCAGTAGAAGGTTAGCAGAATATTTGAAAAATTCTGGAATTAAATCATCTATTCCTGGAGATTTGTTGAGCTGAAGGTTGTTTATGCTATCTTAAATCTCTTCTCTGGTATTGGAGAGTCATGAATTACTTTTGTAAGGTAACTGTTTGGGTCATTATGAAACCTCCTGTCCCATAAACCTCAGAATTAAAGAACGCCTAGCACCAACCAAGAAATCAGACCGTAAATCAGCTATCTCAGAACACATAATCATCTGTCCTAATCACAACATTGAATGGGACAATGTAGAAATATTATTATAAAAACACAACCTCCAGGACTTCCCCAAAAGAAAACTGGCAGAAGCAGTTCAAATCCGCCGACACAAACCCTCAATCAACAGAGACCAAGGATACCTCATTCCATCCGCCTACAATGAACTGATAAAAACAACAGAACAGAGCACTCTAGCCATCTTTGCTAATTAATCCCATTTGCTATGTATATCTTGTTCCGCCTCCTCAACATTGGCTTCCTCCCATTGTTATTGTATTATTACTTATTCCATTGTTGTTGTTAATCCCTTTGATGTACTCCACCATGTTGTCTTACTTAATCCCTTTTCATGTATATATATAAGTCGGTTCTGTGCTGTATTACTTTACTCTTGCTTGACAACGGTATACGAAGCTATACCGAAACGTCGCAGTATAATAAATAAAGACGTTGTTATCCATAAAACATCATACTTTTTCTATTATCCATCAGCTTCTAAAATGCCAATCAAACAGATTATATGTATGTGGTTACATCGAAGATGAATTTTTCCACTAATTTGGGTGAACCAAATGCAAACTTTATGCAGATGAATTGCATGAGGATCATGCATCAAATTGCTGAAAAACATGTGCAAATAACGTGCATGTGAACAGCTGCGTTTTGGTGTAAAGTTTTGTTAAGAATTCGATGAATTTCACTGAGTTTCATCAGTTATTGAACTCATGACAATAATCTTTTCAACGCCACGAATTTGTTTTACAATACATCAGTTCATGTGTAAACAGTACCTTTAAACAGTATGGAATATTTTGCAAAATCTAGTTTAGAACAGTTGACTGAAGTAAGTGGCTACATTTACACTAGTGAGTCTAAACTTTTGATGGTTAGTATATTTTATTCTGTTTCTCTTTCTAATGTGCAGTGCGTTTGTGCCTGCAAAAGACATTGTATTTATTAATTTCTTGATTTATTATATTGTTCCAATGATGCTTTATCTTTACGTTTTCTAAACTTGTCCAAGGATTTGCAGCGTCCAGTTTCAAGTTTTCTACATTCATCATCATACCAATGATAAAATCATTTTTCATAATTCCACACTTTCTTTTCATATCTGATCCTGCGAGACAAAGGGCGTCTAAAATAAAGTAAATGCTAGTATCAATACATGTAAAAGCACTCTCGACTGACTTGTCTAAAATATCTTGTACAGGATCTATTACAATATTTTGGCTAACCTGTGAAGTTAATGTTCAAGTTGTTTGATAGTAAGGTTAAACCTGTGTTATTATATGGGTCTGAAATCTTGGGGTTCGAGGAGAGGAAATCGGTTGAAATCTTTCACATTAACTTTTGCAAATATGTTCTTGGTGTATGTAAGCAGGTTTCTAGTAATGGAGTTTTAGCAGATTGCTGTAGGTTAAATATGTATGTTGATTATCATGTCAGATGTATAAGTTATTGGTGTATATTATTGAGGATGTCGGAGGATCGTTATCCAAAACAGTCTTATTTACTCCTGAGGAAATTAGATTTAGCTGGTAGAGTAACGTGGGCTTCTTCTGTTAAATATTTGTTAAGTTCCTATGGGTTTTGTTTTCTTTGGTACAGTCAGGATGTTGGTGATATTTCTCAGTTTATTATAGTTTTAAGAATGGACAAATTGATTGTGATAAACAGCATATTTTTGGTAATATAAATTAATCTTCTCATTTGATGTACTTTAAAGAAATTAAGTCACTTTTAAATGTTGAATATTATGTAAATTTCAACAACCAAGTAACTGTTAGAAGAAACATTTACCTTCTCAGATTAAATTCCCTCCCTTCACGGTGTAATACATGTATAAGAGGTGCGAATGTCAATACGTATTGTAGTATGTGTGAAGATGGGGTGAATGAAAATGTTATACATTTTTTGTTTGAGTGTACTGCTTACAATGTAATTAGAGATAGCTATGTTCCTGTACATAGGCAGTTAAATGTAGTCGCTAATTATCATAATATATTAACTAGTAATTGTAGATATAGCCTTGTAAATTGTTCTAATTACATCAGAAGCTCTTGCTTATAGAAAAATGTTACAACATTAGCCATTTAATTGAATTACTTTGTACAGTTGCTCCTATTCCACGAAAATGTACTCTGTTTTTGAATGTATTGTACATGGGCCGATGGCCTACAAACCGAAATAAAAGAAGAATGAAGAATGAATGAATAATATCAAAATTATGCAGGTATCTAATAAAATCAGAGCTGATGTGTGATATCTGATGTGTTCCAAAATATAAAATGAATGTCTTGATCTTAATTTGGGGTGTCCTGAGGTATATCAGTGTTGTGTTCCAAATGATATACTGTAGAATGTTTATTGGTGTTTTCGGCCCGGCCTAAACCATATCAATGTTGTGTTCTGGAGGAACTACGAGTTGCATACCTGGACTGGTGTTGCTTGTGCTGTTGTTGTTGTCGATGTTGTTGTTGTTGTGGTTGTTGGTTACATTTGTTACCCTGGGATGAGCTGTTCTCTCTAGAGCTGGGGATCAGGCTTTCGCTTGGTTCATCCATCAACTTACTCCCATTAAAGGAAACCCTTCTGTCCGGATGTTCACTTGTCTTCCAAGAGAGTTCTTGTCTCTGTGCAGCAGTGAGGTGATAGGCGAAGCCAAATCCATTCTCCCTTAGAGAAAGTCAGACATACAATTTGTGTTACCACAAACGGAATCAGGTGATTTGTGTTGTGACAAGAGTGAAACAGGCAGTTTGTGTTGTGACAGAGTGAAACAGACAGTTTGTGTTGTGACAGACTTAAACAAACAGTTTGTGTTGTGACAAAGTGAAACGGGCAGTTTGTGTTTTGACAGAGTGAAACAGACAGTTTGAGTTGTAACAGAGTGAAACAGAGGGTTTGTGTTGTGACAGAGTGAAACGGGCAGTTTGTGTTTTCACAGAGTGAAAGAGGCACTTTGTGCTGTGACAGAGTGAAACAAACAGTGTGCGTTGTGGCAGAGTGAAACAGGCAGTTTGTGTTGTGACAGAGTGAAACAGACAGTTTCTGTTGTGACAGAGTGAAACAGGCGGTTTGTGTTGTGACAGGGCGAAACAGTCAGTTTGTGTGGTGACAGATTGAAGCAGACAGTTTGTGTTGTGACAGAGTGAAACAATCAGTTTGTGTTGTGACAGAGTGAAACAGACAGTTTGTGTTTTGACAGAGTGAAACAGGCAGTTTGTGTTGTGACAGATTGAAACAGTCAGTTTGTGTGGTGACAGAGTGAAACAGAATGTAACATTCAATTTGCAAAAACACACATCCTCTGTTTACCTGTACGGCCACAACTTGTATGCAAGTGTTACCACGACAACACCCACAAGCAGCAGAAACGTTCTTTGTCGGGTTTCCATGGCAATCTTTGGAATATGCTGAAAGGGAGGATGGATATGATCGTGTTTGTCTTATGAATCAGACACAGGTGAAAAAACCCGGTAAGATGTTTTCGGGATAAAATTAACCAAAACGAATGAAGATGCTTACAATGCTACACGGTCTAAACGCGAAAGTGATCTTCAGGAGTCTGAAGAAAAGCAACACAACCCTTCCAATAATGGCAAGACATATCTGCTAAAAGAAGTATATTGTGTGATTTCCGCTATGACTATCAACAGATCGGGACGATTCTAGCCGTAAAGGTAGTCTGTCATACAGACCCTGAAGCAAATATATCCAAGAAAACCCTCACAAGTCTAGAAAATGTAGCAAGTCTAGATTTCCACAGTCTGAACATGAATAAAGTCTCAGGGCTCCTTTTCATTATATTTTATATTTTTTACTATGAGCTTTTTTCTGTAAAATATTTTCATTTCAGAGACTAGTTGTTAGTCTAGGTGTAATAGCGAACGTTTTGACACTTTTGTGGCATCCGTCTTTATCATAATCACTGGCCCATGCTCATTGCTCTCTCTAATGTAACCCGTGAAGGTCCGGGTTAGAATTGATCTTCAGTAACCCATGCTTGTCGTTCAAGGCGACTTACGGGATCGGGTGGTCAGGATGGCTGACTTGGTTGACACATGTCATCGTATCCCAATTGCGTAGATTGATGTTCATGCTGTTGATCCCTGGATTGTCTGGTCAGATTGTGCTCTACCCGCCAGCCATGTCTGCTGGTGGTAATATCAGTTCTACCCGCCAGCCATGTCTGCTGGTGGTAATATCAGTTCTACCCGGTAGCCATGTCTGCTGGTGGTAATATCAGTTCTACCCGCCAGTCATGTCTGCTGTTGGTAATATCAGTACATGTAGTGTCATCTGTCAGATTGTGCTCTACCCGCCAGCCATGTCTGCTGGTGGTAATATCAGTTCTACCCGGTAACCATGTTTGCTGGTGGTAATATCAGTTCTACCCGGTAACCATGTCTGCTGTTGGTAATATCAGTTCTACCCGGCAGTCATGTCTGCTGTTAGTAATATCAGTACATGTAGTGGGATCTGTCAGATTGTGCTCTACCCGCCAGCCATGTCTGCTGGTGGTAATATCAGTTCTACCCGGTAACCATGTCTGCTGGTGGTAATATCAGTTCTACCCGGTAGCCATGTCTGCTGATGGTAACATCAGTTCTACCCGGTAGTCATGTCTGCTGGTGGTAATATCAGTTCTACCCGGTAACCATGTATGCTGGTGGTAATATCAGTTCTACCCGCCAGTCATGTCTGCTGTTGGTAACATCAGTACATGTAGTGGAATCTGTCAGATTGTGCTCTACCCGGCAGCCATGTCTGCTAGTGGTAATATCAGTTCTACCCGGTAGCCATGTCTGCTGTTGGTAATATCAGTTCTACCCGGTAACCATGTCTGCTGTTGGTAATATCAGTACATACAGTGGAATCGGTCAGACTGTCCTCTACCCGGCAGCCATGTCTGTTGATGGTAATATCAGTACATACTGTGGAGTCTGTGAGACTGTCCTCTACCCGGTAGCCATGTCTGCTGGTGGTAATATCAGTTCTACCCGCCAGCCATGTCTGCTGTTGGTAATATCAGTACATGTAGGGTAATCTGTCAGATTGTGCTCTACCCGCCAGCCATGTTTGCTGGTGGTAATATCAGTTCTACCCGCCAGCCATGTCTGCTGTTGGTAATATCAGTTCTACCCGCCAGTCATGTCTGCTGTTGGTAATATCAGTACATGTAGTGGAATCTGTCAGATTGTGCTCTACCCGCCAGCCATGTCTGCTGGTGGTAATATCAGTTCTACCCGGTAGCCATGTCTGCTGGTGGTAATATCAGTTCTACCCGGTAACCATGTCTGCTGCTGGTAATATCAGTTCTACCCGGTAACCATGTCTGCTGGTGGTAATATCAGTTCTACCCCGCAGTCATGTCTGCTGTTAGTAATATCAGTACATGTAGTGGAATCTGTCAGATTGTGCTCTACCCGCCAGCCATGTCTGCTGCTGGTAATATCAGTTCTACCCGGTAACCATGTCTGCTGGTGGTAATATCAGTTCTACCCGGTAACCATGTCTGCTGGTGGTAAAATCAGTTCTACCCGGTAGCCATGTCTGCTGGTGGTAATATCAGTTCTACCCGGTAACCATGTTTGCTGGTGGTAATATCAGTTCTACCCGGTAACCATGTTTGCTGGTGGTAATATCAGTTCTACCCGGTAACCATGTTTGCTGGTGGTAATATCAGTTCTACCCGCCAGTCATGTCTGCTGTTGGTAATATCAGTACATGTAGTGGAATCTGTCAGATTGTGCTCTACCCGCCAGCCATGTCTGCTGGTGGTAATATCAGTTCTACCCGGTAACCATGTCTGCTGTTGGTAATATCAGTTCTACCCGGTAACCATGTCTGCTGGTGGTAATATCAGTACATACAGTGGAATCGGTCAGACTGTCCTCTACCCGGCAGCCATGTCTGTTGATGGTAATATCAGTACATACTGTGGAGTCTGTGAGACTGTCCTCTACCCGGCAGCCATGGCTGCTGGTGGTAATATCAGTTCTACCCGGCAGCCATTTTTTGGTGGTGGTAATATCAGCTCTACCCGGTAGCCGTTTCTGTCGGTGGTAATATCAGTACATGCAGTGGAATCTGTGAGACTGTCCTCTACCCGGCAGCCATTTCTGCTGGAGATATAGTCTCCTAAATGCCAAGAGCCACCATCTTGGTTCAATATGGATCAATTTACTCATGGCGGTAGCTGAAGCGCCACACAGTGACAGCATGTGTATATACACACATGTACCGACTTTAGTCTGACATTTTTTAACATCACACACTAGCCTGGTTTGTTTCACTATCCCCATGCATATATTCTCATCAACATTATTTCGCTTCACTGGATTTAAACACAAATTAAAGGCACCCTTTCTATGCCAGTCCTAACGCAATACTAACTGATAAGGCCATGGTTTCATTATCCTATTCATATGTTTGTACATAAAGAATGAACACACAGTACCTGTTTCCAGGGTAACATCCTACCGATCTTGTCACCGGTTTCAGTAACGAAGTTACTTGAGCCACCCTTGAGGTTGGCCAATGTGTCGGAACTTGATACGAAGGACAAATTCAGTCGCGTCGTGCTTTTAGAGCGTGACCGGACAATAACCTTCCTTCTTGAACACAGTTGTTACGTTTATAAGAACCTGTTTTTTGTGTTTTCACAATGCTTTTGGTAGGGATTTCTTACGTTTGTGATAACAAAGGCCGGCCTTGTCAGCTAGCAATCACCCGGATGAAACCCGACCTCAGGAACTGTAAGCTTCTGTAATTAAAACTATAAAAACAACGGGAATCTATGATGACGTTCGAGCTTGTGATAAAGGATGTACGGAGTTTTCCAGTCCAGGTATATTTGTATTTAAACTGTTTGTCACTGTGGCTAACAGCGTTTATAATATTGTGATAAGGTTAAAAATACACCTCCTAATCAATACAGGTGGAACAAACCCAGAAGGGAGAATTGCGGTTATCGCGTGATAGAATTGATTCTGTCACTGTGTGGTAATACACCAAATGATCCATAAAAGTTTTATTCACCTTTATCTAGGCCACAGACCCACGGTACATAACATTTCAATAGTGTGATTACAAATGAAGTGATTCATACAATTTCATATAAATATATATTTATACAGACAAATTCACAGAAATAAGTTGCTGATTAGAAGACATAATTCGAACAAATGTTTCAAATGAGGGGTTACTATAGTGTTCTTAATCAATATATTGCTTTCTTAAGGCGAAGAAGGCACAGCAAACGATGATAACATGGTACTCGTTTTCGACAAGCTGGATATTATATCGAAGGCAGTATCTGCACAAGCGGTTGTCGATGTCTATTCCCAATTGTCTCCCGATTTCGATGAGTAGCTGGTTTCAGTCACATCTGAATCTGGTTTACGCTTGCTTCAATGGAGGAGAGCTGACTTGTGAGAGATAAGATTCCGCATGCAGAACTGTTTTGTAAGTTGAATAAGCTGTCAACTTGGAGTTGGATGACATTGAAGCCTGCCATCATTGAATGTTGTAGTCAGGCACTCTTTGTGTGAACTCAGACATGAAAATATCAATATGTCCAACACCTTGCATAACCCAAGCGTACCCGAATCCGAACAAAGTGACAGTATTGTGTGGCATTCATTTGCTCTGTTTCTCTTTCCCCGAATACACGTGCAACAACGTATTGCACGTCTCAAGGACGAACCCACTGACGTCACGGAACGTGGCACGTGCATGCATGTTGGATACATGTCACTAATCTCTGAGTTTGAATCCTTATGTGTCTATACAGGTTTGATAAATTTAGATTTTAAATTTTTGTATGCACAGTTTCTTTATGTGCCTAGTATATTTGGACGATGGCTGACCTGGATCAGTTGCTATGACAATATGACCGTCCATTTTTCATTTGTTGCCCAAACTATTTTTATATGGTAACGTTTCTTATAATCGTCAGTGTAGAATATTATATACATTGCATTTACTAGAAATGAGAGACCATTGATCTGTTTATTGGACACGAAGGACACGAATTATGTTGTGTACTGTGTTGTTTCTGGTGTTGTTGTTTTTCATGAAAAGAGGTACTATTTCAAACACATCCTTATTTCCCGCAGATATAACCTAAGAACACTTTGACCATCATAGTAACGAGGAGATCAGGAGGGTGAGTTTCTTCATTCTCAAACGCAACTGTCATGTCCCAGACGTCAAGATACAGCACCTGGTCATACAGATTTACAAACTCCTTTTTCAGGATATTTTCATAAGCGGGTCCCCACATACCACCCATAGGTGTTTTTGGTGTAGGTACAGAATATTTATGTGGACCTTTGATGACAATTTTGACATCAGGAGAACGTTTCAGAAGGTTTACTATTGCAAGTCTTGTTCTGTGGACACGAGCTCTGTAGATGTGGATTGGGGTAAAATGGAAATGAGCATAAAGATTAATAAGAATGATATCATTTGATCCAGATGGTATGTCATCCAAGCGAGCAAACACTGGCTGGGTGATTGTTCTATTAGCTTTGTAAAACCACAGTGGGAACCCATGGGGCAACAGGTATACTGTATAGTTATATTTGGTGTGGTGCGCCTCGCATATTGTTGGCCCTGCGTAAAAGTTTCGTTTCTTGCTCTTCTTGCCCTCCGGGGGACCTTTTGTAATGGTGAAACCTAACATCGAATAAAGGGCTCCAAATATTTGTCTGACGGTGGAATCGCCAAACAACTTCAGAGTCCTATTGGCCAAACATTGATTATACGTGTCAACAGGGACGCTGTTCCGACATGATAGAGGGCGCCACGTGTTGTTGTAGGAGAAACCGACAGGTGGCGTTGCCAACCAGGTGTCCCGGATGTTCCTTCGGCCACAAGGGATTGTGGGAGACACGGCAAGGTCTTTATCTGCTAAACAAAATACGAATGCACTTTGAATTATATACGTAACAAAAGAAGCAAATGTATGCACAGTAAATGATGAACTTTGAATCGAAAAAGAAATAAGCTTTTCAGTATATATTAACAAAATAGAGACTTACAAAGTCTTCATAAATTAGCCGGCTGTAATAAACGATATATATAATTACAAAACAGGTTTTATACAATGATATATCCAAACATACCGTGCCGTTTGGACGATATATTTATTGTGGTAAAGTCCGAGAGATACTCTGTGGATCTCCATCTGAAACATATTGCGCTGCTCTGTTCAACAATGAAATAGTGAGTATGATTTAAGGCCTCTTTTAGCAATATTGCAGAAACATCACGGCGAGTGGCACCAGAAATGGGTTTCACACATTTCACTGATGTGGGGAATCGAACCCGGTCTTCGGTGTGACAAGCGAACGCTTTAACCACTTGGCAACATCACCGCTCCCAACAGCCAAATCAGGTAAAATCGGGTTTAACGGCATGTTCAAGAGTCTTCATACAGCAACATGTGTGCGAGTGTGTGTGCGAGTGTGTGTGTGTGTGTGTGTGTGTGTGTGTGTGTGTGTGAGAGAGAGAGAGAGAGAGAGAGAGAGAGAGAGAGAGAGAGAGAGAGAGAGAGAGAGAGAGAGTGTGTGTGTGTACGTGTGTGTGTGTTGTAGATCTGGAAACAGGCATGGCAACTCCACTCAGAGACCGACTCCAACCCTTGTTTTGTCGCCTTAAAGCCAAGATTCGATGAGTCGCTCAACCACACACTCAACCTCCAGTCACATCCATCAACTCAAACCGGTGAAGATCCGGGTTAGAATTGATCTTCAGCAACCCATGCTTGTCTTAAGAGGCGACTAACGGGATCGAGTGGTCCGACTCACTGACTTGGTTGACACATGTCATCGTATCCCAACTGTGTAGATCGATGCTCATGTTGTTGATCACTGGATTGTCTGGTCCAGACTCGATTATGTACAAACCTCCGGCATATAGCTGGAATATTGCTGAGTGCGGTGTTAAACAACAACCAAACAAACAATCCAAGCCAAGCACCAGACAGAGTATCTATAAAGGCCGTACTTTAACGTGCTTGTGAATATTACAATTACTATATACTCTGGGATCTGTCAAAAGGCTTATGTATATGATTGCTCCCTGTTTAAAGTCACACTGCCAAAAATGCTATTGGTGCCCGGAAAACATGAAAATAGGGCTAAAAACGTTATTTTGTTATTCCAAGGTTTATAATACAACTAAACTGTACACGGAGTGTCGAGTTAAAGATCGGGTGAGAGAATACTTACGCTGCAAACCATCTCGTGTCGGCCCCAAAGGTCATATAGTTGTGAGGTAAAGAAGTTTCAGTCCAGTCTCGGCACCCAATCCCCTTTGTCTTTGGCTTCCCACAATAGAATGGGATGCCGAAATAGTCGGCAGTCAGATTACAAAAGGGGCGTATTTTCATGTATTTCATTTCCATGTGACCGCTTGTAATCTCAGTTGAAGTATTTGATCTGAATATACATTGAATTTGTTTCCCAAAATATCCATTCTGGAATGAAAAATTCAAATGCGCCATTCTTTCTCTTGATGAAATCATGGCAGCCCGAATTATGGCTCTTCCTGTCCACAAGGTGCGCAGAACTCCAGTATACGTTCCATTTCCATTGTCGATAACACTTCCGGCGGAAGCAGCGCCATGTTGCGGATCTTTCATCCACACGACTAACATATCACCACCACATGTTTTTGGTCTCTTCCCGTGATCGAATAGAACAATGTTCACCTTGACCGTTTCGTTAAGCTGATACGTCCTGTTTATACCAACCAACGATATACGTGACATGGATCCTGAAGCGTGGAGGCTTGTTACTTCATTCAATACACTGAAACCAACAATACAACAGATTATCTTAGTACAATTATTACTCACAAACAATCTCATCAACAAAACATTTCACACAAGTTTGAATGGTGATCACTTTTCTGAGATGGAACTGCCAAGCACACAAACACACACCACTAAGAAAAGAGAGTGAGTGAGTGACTTAAGTTTTAAGCTGCTTTTAGCAATATTCCAGCAATATCACAGCAAGGGGACACCAGAAATGGGCTTCACACATTGTACCCATGTGGATAAGCGAACCCGGATCTCGGCGTGAAGCGCGAACGCTTATCCACTAGACTATCCCACTGCCCCAACAAAACAGTGCTAGCAACAGAGCTGAACAATGGAAAAGAGGAGGCCATTGTCCAGTGTAAGGGATCTTACATGCATATATGTAACCCTGATGTGTTGTGTCAGAGCCATTGCTCATCATTATCAGAGACCACATCACTTTGCTGAGACCAAGGATACCTCATTCCATCCGCCTACAATGAACTGATAAAAACAACAGAACAGAGCACTCCAGCCATCATTGCTAATTAATCCCATTTGCTATGTATACCTTGTTCCGCCTCCTCAACATTGGCTTCCTCCCATCGTTATTGTATCATTACCTAACCCATCTGCTGTGTATACCTTGCTCTGCCTCCTCAACATTGGCTTCCTCCCATCGTTATTGTATTATTACCTACCCCATCTGCTGTGTATACCTTGTTCCGCCTCCTCAACATTGGCTTCCTCCCATCGTTATTGTATTATTACCTACCCCATCTGCTGTGTATACCTTGTTCCGCCTCCTCAACATTGGCTTCCTCCCATTGTTATTGTATTATTACCTATTCCATTGTTGTTGTTGTTAATGCCTTTGATGTATTCCCTCATGTTGTCTTACTTAATCCATGTTACATGTATAGAAGTCGGTTCTGTGCAGTATTACTTTACTTGCTTGACAACGGTATACGAAGCTATACCGATACGTCGCATCATAATAAATAAAGAAGTTGTTATCCATAAAGTATTATTCTTTTCTATTATCCATCAACTTCTAAAATGCCAATCAAACAGATTATATGTATGTGGTTACATCGAAGATGAATTTCTCCCCTACTTTGGGTGAACCAAATGCAAACCTTATGCAGATGAATTGCATGAGGATCATGCATCAAATTGCTGAAAAACATGTGCAAATAACGTGCTGGGTTTACATAAGCACATGTATATGACAGATCATGATCTAATCCAAACAGGTTTTAATCAAACATAATACACCATTTTCAGTATTTTTTTTACCACAGTACAAACTTCTCCATTTCTTTCCTTATCAGAGCAGATATTCCACCAGATAGTCTGCCATAGTTAACTTTGAAATTCGTTCTGCATGTTCGTAAGTAGAAAAGTAGTCTGAAAATACATATTCTAAATCAAAGTCATCCACCCGAGTCTCACTTAAACCTAATAATAATATAGGAAGATTGATATATTACATAAGTATTGTAGCTCTTGGGGTTTAGAGGTAAATATGGATAAGATGGAGGTGCTAGTATTTCGTAATGGTGGTTTTCTTCGTTCATATGAGAAGTGGTTTTATAACGGTATTCCAGTTAAGACGTCAACATATTACAGTTATCTTGGTGTTCTATATTCTACTAGATTGTCTTGGACAAGGTGTACTCATACCCATGTTAGTACAGCCAGTAAGGCCCCCTTTGCTTTGAAGTCTTTGTTTATAAAATATCCAAGTATACCTGTAAAGTTAATGTTCAAGTTGTTTGATAGTAAGGTTAAACCTGTGTTATTATATGGGTCTGAAATCTGGGAGTTCGAGGAGAGGAAATCGGTTGAAATCTTTCACATTAACTTTTGCAAATAGGTTCATGGTGCAGGTAAGCAGGTTTCTAGTAATGGAGTTTTAGCAGATTGCTGTAGGTTAACTATGTATGTTGATTATCATGTCAGATGTATAAGTTATTGGTGTAAATTATTGAGGATGTCGGAGGATCGTTATCCAAAACAGTCGTATTTACTCCTGAGGAAATTAGATTTAGCTGGTAGAGTAACGTGGGCTTCTTCTGTTAAATATTTGTTAAGTTCCTGAGGGTTTTGTTTTGTTTGGTACAATCAGGATGTTGGTGATATTTCTCAGTTGATATATAGTTCTAAGAATAGACTAACTGATTGTGATAAACAGCATATTTTTGGTAATATAAATATATCTCCTCATTTGATGTACTTTAAAGAAATTAAGTCACTTTTAAATGTTGAATATTATGTACATGTCATCAACCAAGTAACTGTTAGAAGAAATATTAGCCTTTTCAGATTAAATTCCCTCCCTTTACAGTGTAATATAAGAGGTGCGAATGTCGATACGTATTGTAGAATGTGTGAAGAGGGGGTGAATGAAAATGTTATACATTTTTTGTTTGAGTGTACTGCTTACAATGTAATTAGAGATAGCTATGTTCCTGTGCATAGGCAGTTAAATGTAGTCGCTAACTATCATAATATATTAACTAGTAATTGTAGATATACCCTTGTATATTGTTCTAATTACATCAGAAGCTCTTGCTTATAGAAAAATGTTACAACATTAGCCATTTAATTGAATTACTTTGTACAGTTGCTCCTATTCCACGAAAATGTACTCTGTTTTTGCATGTATTGTACATGGGCCGATGGCCTACAAACCGAAATAAAAGAAGAATGACGAATGAATGAATAATATCAAAATTATGCAGGTATCTAATAAAATCAGAGCTTGTGTGTGAAATCTGATGTGTTCCAAAATATAAAATAAATGTTTTGATCGTAATTTGGGGTGTCCTGAGGTATATCATTGTTGTGTTCCCAATGATATACTGTAGAATGTTTATTAGTGTTCTCGGCCCGGCCTAAACCCTATCTATGTTGTGTTCCCAATGATATACTGTAGAATGTTTATTGCTGTTTTCGGCCTGGCCTAAACCCTATCTATGTTGTGTTCCCAATGATATACTGTAGAATGTTTATTGGTGTTCTCGGCCTGGCCTAAACCCTATCTATGTTGTGTTCCCAATGATATACTGTAGAATGTTTATTAGTGTTCTCGGCCTGGCCTAAACCCTATCTATGTTGTGTTCCCAATGATATACTGTAGAATGTTTATTGCTGTTTTCGGCCTGGCCTAAACCCTATCTATGTTGTGTTCCCAATGATATACTGTAGAATGTTTATTGGTGTTCTCGGCCTGGCCTAAACCCTATCTATGTTGTGTTCCCAATGATATACTGTAGAATGTTTATTAGTGTTCTCGGCCTGGCCTAAACCCTATCTATGTTGTGTTCCCAATGATATACTGTAGAATGTTTATTAGTGTTCTCGGCCTGGCCTAAACCCTATCTATGTTGTGTTCCCAATGATATACTGTAGAATGTTTATTAGTGTTCTCGGCCTGGCCTAAACCCTATCTATGTTGTGTTCCCAATGATATACTGTAGAATGTTTATTGGTGTTTTCGGCCTGGCCTAAACCCTATCTATGTTGTGTTCTGAAGGAACAACTAGTTACAAACCTGGACTTGTGTTGCTTGTGCGGTTGTTGTTGTTGTGGTTGTTGGTTGCATTTGTTACCCTGGGATGAGCTGTTCCCTCTAGAGCTGGGGATCAGGCTGTCAACTGGTTCTTGTCTCTGTGCAGCAGTGAGGACATTGGCGAAGCCAAATCCATTCTCCCTTAGAGAAAGAGTCAGACATACAATTTGTGTTACCACAAACGCAATCAGGTGATTTGTGCTGTGACAGAGTGAAACAGACAGTTTGTGTTGTAGCAGAGTGAAACGGACATTTTGTGTTGTGACAGAGTGAAACTGGCAGTTTGCGTTGTGGCAGAGTGAAACAGGCAGTTTCTATTGTGACAGGGTGAAACAGGCAGTTAGTGTTGTGACAGAGTGAAACAGGCAGTTTGTGTTGTGACAGGGTGAAACTGGCAGTTTGTGTTCTGACAGAGTGAAACAGACAGTTTGTGTTGTGACAGAGTGAAACAGGCAGTTTGTGTTTTGACAGATGAAACGGACAGTTTGTGTTGTGGCAGAGTGAAACAATCAGTATGTGTTGTGACAGAGTGAAACAGACGGTTTGTGTTGTGACAGAGTGAAACAGAAAGTTTGTGTTGTGGCAGAGTGAAACGGGCAGTTTGTGTTGTGACAGAGTGAAACAGGCAGTTTGTGTTGTGACAGAGTAAAACGGACAGTTTGTGCTGTGACAGAGTGAAAGAGAAAGTTTGTGTTGTGACAGACTGAAACAGACAGTTTGCGTTGGGGCAGAGTGAAACAGACAGTTTGTGATGTAACAGAGTGAAACAGGCAGCTTGTGTTGGGGCAGAGTGAAACTTACAGTTTGTGTTGTTGAAGAGTGAAAGAGACAGTTTGTGTTGTGACAGAGTGAAACAATCAGTTTGTGTTGTGACAGATTGAAACAGACGGTTTGCGTTGTGACAGAGTGAAACAGGCAGTTTGTGTAGTGGCAGATTGAAAAAGAAAGTTTGGGTTGTAACAGAGTGAAACAGACAGTTTGTGTTGTGACAGAGTGAAACAATCAGTTTGTGTTGCGACAGAGTGAAACAGGCAGTTTGTGTTGTGACAAAGGGAAACAATCAGTTTGTGTTGTGGCAGAGTGAAACAGGCAGTTTGTGTTGTTGCAGACTGAAACAGACGGTTTGTGTTGTGACAGAGTGAAACAATCAGTATGTGTTGTTACAGATTGAAACAGACGGTTTGTGTTGTGACAGAGTGAAACAGGCAGTTTGTGTTGTGGCAGAGTGAAACCGAAAGTTTGGGTGGTAACAGAGTGAAACAGACAGTTTGTGTTGTGAGAGAGTGAAACAGGCAGCTTGTGTTGTGGCAGAGTGAACCAGACAGTTTGTGTTGTGACAGAGTGGAAGAGGCAGTTTGCGTTGTGGCAGGGTGAAACAGACAGTTTGTGTTGTGACAGAGTGAAACAGACAGTTTGTGTTGTAACAGCGTGAAACAGGCAGCTTGTGTTGTTGCAGAGTGAAC